TCCCACCGTGTTTCTACATGCTTTTTCTAAGCTTATATCATGAAGGACTATGCTCACATTTTTCTAAGTTTTGTTTTTGAATTTCCATAATGAAATAGCAAAAAATTGGGTTTATATTTTAATCCCAGATTATGTTTTAAAAAAGACTATGTCCAATATTAAAAATCATTTTTTTAATAAAATTTAATAAAATTTGATAAAATGTGTGGTTTAAAAGTTGATAAAAATTGTGATTTTTTCTTAAAATTGGTACTAGAGCACCAATCTAAGTGATCATACTTGATTGATGTAATTAAGCCATTGTTTGAGCCTCATTTTTAAATGAATTTTGCTTTGAAATAGTGATTTTTTGGAGAATGTGTAATTAAAAAAATAAGGTGAAGTTTTCGATTTATGTGAAATTATTTTGTGGAAAAATGTGTGGTTGAAAACGATTTTTGAAAAAATAAGTTCTTGAAAAATGGGGGCCAAACATTGCCTAAATAACTCATGCAATATTGTTGATAAATGAATATATCATTTAGCCACTATTTAATGGTCATTGTTGTGTAAAAATGATGTTTTGAATAGTAATTTTTAAAAGAATGTGTAGTTAAAAAGTATGAAAAAGTTGAGTTTGCATACAAAATATTTTATTATGTAGACGTGTGATTGAAAAAAGTATTGAGAAATAAATTGTTTTGTTTTGAAGGCATGAGCTAGACCTTGAATAGACTGTTGGCACCTAAAGTAAAGGTGTCGATGTATGACCTTGTTGCGCCCTTCAATGCTCAAGTCTGTAACGATAAAGAAATATAGAAGTAGGGCCTTGAACTAAATAACGTAATGAATAATAATTACATATCTACGGTACAATGTGATGTAATTTCGAAAGGATTTTAACATCGATAAGGATTAGGACTCCTAGCAAGATTAAAAGTCTTAGTCCTTGTTTGGCAACTGTTTATAGATTATTTATAATCAGTTAAATTATTTTTTATTCACATATTTCTTGAGATCAATAAATACTATTAACTTATACATCATTTATTTTACTTACTTTTTAATCATACATTCCTTGGGATCTACTACTTGCAATCATCCTTTTTTTTTTTTGGTTATAAACATGGACTTAGTCGAGTTGTGTTAAGACTAGGATAATATTGCCTTAGTAGGATTAGGTTATCATTGGAGGTCGTATTCTTGATCTAGCCATGTTGTCGCGTGAGTATGGTCGTTCTAAGCATCGGGTAACCGCGCCCATGCTCAGTGTAATGGCACTTATGGAGAGCACTAGACGGTGACCTTGGGGCAGGTGGTTGAGAAGGTCAAGGTGTATGGACCATGTAGTCGAGTTTGAGGATGACAAAATGTAAGTTATTAATTAATTTATTAGATCATAGTCTGGCAAAATTTATAAACATTTACGTCATCACTAATTTTTAATTATTTATAAATTTAATCGTTCTTAAATTATTTTCGAATGATGTCCTACATGTAGATGGGACGAAATTGTCCAGAACTTACAAGAACAAAGAGCTAACTGAAGCAAATTGCACTTTTATTCACCGTAGAGGATATTTGCTCCGTTGTGCCCAAAAGTAGATGCACCTGCTTTGAATCTAAGGCCGCGTTTGCGAATCTTCCTATTTCTTTCATTGCTTTTCTTGTGAAGCAAGTTGCTCCCATGGGCAAAACCCGCACGAACCACACACGGGCTGGGCCCAGCCACGACCGACAAAAAAGCTTGGACACGTTGGACACTGAGCTAGGCCGGCCAGTTTAACATCGCTAAACATGCCACTTTTTACATTTCTCGTTTTTCACCTTTTTGTCCTAAATCTAAAATTTTTTTATTTTATTTATAAGGTTTCTTTATTATTTTTAAATTACTGTTGTCTTCATAAATTAATTATAATATAAAAATTACATATAAATTCTAAGAAATCTATGTGAGGTACCAACATGATACTTCGTTATATGGACTTCTAGTAGGAAGATATATTCGTCGTTATGTTGGGCGAGGATCATGGTCCATTTGCTTTTGTCTTTGCCATTCTTATCATCTTTCGATCCTCACGAAACACCACCTATCGGGCGAACAACCAACTTCCAATCATGTTGGCTG